GAAGAGTCGGACTCGACTTAACAACAACAACAACAACATTTTCTTTGTGATTAAGTATTTCACATAACATCTTCTCACTACCTCGTATCACTCTAGCGTTGTTCCTAATTCTATTCCCTTCCTAACATCCTGAATAAGTGCAACAAATTTTGTTAGTGCAACAATAGTGTAAATAATTACTTAGGTATATGTGCTTCACTAGTAACAATGACTGGTCACAGGTAATCAGGCCAGATCTTGACTGGATTGCAGGTGGGAAAGCCCTTGTTTGAAGGAGTGTGTTTTATAGTCAGTCTTCAGACCTTTGGGCAGGATGAGCCTGCAAATGAGGCTGGCTGGCTGGCTGGCTGGCTGGCTGGCTGGCTGGCTGGCTAGACAGACAGACGGACAGACAGACGATAGATAGATGGCAGATAAGATGATATTCAGAGCATATGTATCCAGTAATAAATACTTTCCTTTTTTAAAAAGTGTTTTATGATAATAGCATTGCTATAATTATCTTGGCATATTTTTAATTATATAATGTAATAGCAGCAAATGCTGTTTGAAATACACGACTGTTCTGCAATTTAAGACTGCATCCACCTAAAAGCCAGCTGTGACTTTTGCTATAATATTGGACCTGTACATGGTTTTTCCCATTGGAAGCCATATCATTCATCCATCTAGCCTAGAGTTATCAGCTGACTGGCAGCAGCTCTCCTAGATTTCAGAAGGAAGCTAAAGATGTGTGGGTGAGTGCAGATCCAATCAATTTACAGCTCATTTTTCATACAGATTTCCATTCCTGCTGGTTTTTTTCTTAAAAAAATAAATACAGAAATTGTATTTATTGTCAGGGACAGAGGGAAGTTGGACTTAGTTTTGAATATTGATTGATTGATTTGATTTATATAGCCACCCATCTCACAACAGTGACTTGAGTAGGTATTGGGATTCTTGGCTTTAACAGCAAAAATGTATTTACTTTTTCAGGGAGTATGCTTTCTTAAACGATCCTGTGATTAGTGATGTTACACAAATGTGTAACAGTTTCCATGAAGTGGACAAGAGAGAAAAAGTGTCAGAGGAGAACCCCACTTTGCTGTCAACCTGTGGGACATTTTTGTTTTTAAAGAAGGGAAAAAACCCTAAAGCCTTGGCCATATTTTTAAACTAGGTCAGCAGTTGAATTTTTGGAGAAATATAAATGCTATCCAGGTTCACTCCTATGAGCATTCACCTCTCAATGGATCCCTTGAGAGCAGAAAATTCAGAACTGTGTTCAGCAGGATCCTTGGCAGAATCATTTTACATTCCTAACAGGTGCACCTCAAAATGCTAGAGACTGAATCCAAGACCTTTTTAAATGCCAGGCATGTGTCCTCCCACTGAATCTTGGGGCTGCTGAACTCTTCAAATGATAGCTCTGGATGAAGAGTTTCAGGCAAAGGTATCACCCAAAGATGTATTGAATGGGCGTATTTCAGGGGCTTAATGATTCATGCTGCAGTTGCTATGGAAAGGCAACTGAGCCTATAAATAAGCATTCCTCAGAGAGTTTGTATTGTCTTTTGTAAAGTGCAGCACCCTCTATGTTAAAGAGTGGGTCAAAATGTTTTGGTGTAAAGAGGTTTTAGGGAAGCATCCTGTGACACAGTTGACTTGCCATGGCCCAGATAGCCCCATAATTGCATCAGAAAGGCAGTTTAAATACGATTTGGTATTTAGTGAATATTCTTGAGGAATTAGGTTCTTCCATGCTATTATGTATCTGCTGTATACTGGATTCAGTGCTACAGCATGACGTTAGGAGTGGAGAATCGCTATCTAGGACAGAATAACTTATTCATGCGCTAAATCAGCCTTCCATAATTTGTGAATGATTGAACCAAAGACACTGCAGGAACTATGCCCGGGGTCTGAACATTTCCTCTTTTTGCAATCTAGGGCAAGCAGCAAGGTCAAGGGGTACTTACAGCATCTTGGTGGATGCTGTAAGTATCTAGTGCACAGAGCAAAGTTCAAGCCTGTGGTAGGATTGTTCGTTTGCTTGTTTGTTTGCATTTGTTAAATTTATATCTATCCTTTGTTCCAATAGTTCAAGTCCATATACATGGCACCTGTCCTCCAATGTTATTATCACAATAACAGCCCTTTGGGAAGATTGGATGGCGAAAGAGGGATTGGCCCAGAGTCACCCAGTGAGCTTGCAGGGCTGATTTTCTCCAGTGTTCTCCAAAGTGTTATACTGTAGTATGTCTGACATTTGGGGGATGGGACTTGGTAAGGGAAAACACCTAGTGCAGGGATGAGTTGTGTTGTGCTGGGGGCTACTGCACTGCAGAGCCCCCAGGTGGTATCCATAGAACTCCTCAAATTATATTCCTCAAATATAAAAAGGCTGAAATCTTGTGAGATCATCTAATCTCACAAGATTTTGGAGGTTCCAAATAAGGTGTTGAGATCCAGGGTGGTGTAATCGTTAAGGTGTTGGACTAGGATTCAGAAGACCCATGTCCAAGCCCACCTTCAGCCATGGAAACTCACTGGGTGACTTTGGGCCAAACACTGTCTTAGCCCAACCTACCTCACAGGATAATTGTGGGGATAAAACAAAAGGAGATACTCAGGTGTCATGTGCTTCTGGAAGAAAGATAGGATAAAAATCTGACAATCAATCAATTCATCAATCAATAAAAAGCCATGCTACCTCAGGCATTTATTTTCATTGGGGTACCAGGCCCCTGAAAAGTTTAATGATCTAGCAGTTATCGGATAAACTCTGGAGGTCAGTTTGGAGCTAAATGCCAAAATGTAAAGCTGAATGGCTGGTAGTACACTATGTGCATTCCATGCAGAAGGTTGCTGATGTAGTCCCAGGCATTTCCAATCCAAAGGATGAGAGGATTCTTTGCCTGAGTCCCTGAAGTGCCATTGCAGACTGTAATAGGGGAAATTGTCAAAAAGCCTGACTTCATATAGACTGTTCTGTATGTGCAAATAAGGAATGGGCAATATGTGGCCTTCCAGTGCGGTTTGTATTTTTGTGCCAGTTTAACTCTCTGTGCTACCTAGAGTCTTTGTATTTAGTGATTTATAAATACAAATAAATCAATTAATAAATATTGTTGGACCACTAGTCCCATTATCCCTTACCATTGTCCATATTGTCTTGTTCTGCTGGAAACTGGAGAGAATTTCAGCAACATATAGATTCTAGACACATTGCCTATCCCTCTTGAAGTTCATAAGGTGGTGACAGTGCTACAACAGTTTTCTCTTCAAGTTTGGACATTTGGAAGCTTCAGTTTATCAACCTGGCTGTATGTTGGTCATTCGAATACAGGATCTTCCCGTATTCCACTGACTTAAGTTCCTATAAGGAGGCGCCTGCTTTGTGGGTATCATGCAGTGTGAGGAGCTACTTAGGCCCGATTGTAAACACTTCCTTAACAAAGCCATTTAATTCTTTGGAAGATTTGTTTGTGTGGGTGAATTTAGTGTGCTGCTATTCATTTTTTTCCTTTCCTTTCCCTCCTCTCCTGCAGATGCCTGCAAAGCCATCCCACTGAGGAAGAAAATGGTCACATTTATAACCAAAGAAGCACTAACTGGAAAATGGATTGAAAGGCAGTAAAAAAGCAAATGTACAAGGTCCTGGGGAATTTTTTTCCCATAATTGATCAGCAAAGAAAGCCTTTTCCACTGTCATCTTTTGTAGCTATTTGCAAACTAAATCTTTGACTGGGAAGCCATACGTAGATTTGCAAATGACTCTTGTCTCCTGGGCCTTTCATTAATGGAACAAGAGGCACTTTCTGTGTTGATTTTATACCTATTTAAGAAATTTTAAATACTGACCTTTTGATGGAGTATCACCACCACATCAAAAGACTATTAAAATAGATGTTCTAAGATTTCAGCCTGATTTCCTTCAGTAAGAGTTAAAGAGAAGGGAAAACCACTGAGCTGTTAAAAAGCTAACTCTTTTCTTTTTCGTTTCTTTAGCTAACATCCTGAGGTCAATTTTGAAGGATAATAAATTGAGTTTGTTAATAACTTACTGACATACATATGAACAGGATTAATAGTGATTTCCTTTCCCTAATAACTCTTGGGAGCTGTGCTTCCAAATAAGGGTTTAACATACCATATCCAAAATAGAATCCTCAAAAGGAGACCATGATGATTCAACTGGCCTACAAGTGATATGCTTTTATTGTAGATCAGCCTCAAGCGCGTCTTTCCAATGAAACATTAACAAAGGAACCAAGTTTTCAGAAATTAGAATGCAAGCCCAAAACATGGAGCATTTAGGAAAAGGAATTCAGATGGAGAGTGAGCAACAATTGGAAACTCCAAATACAACTGATCCAATTATTGCCCATGAGAGCCCGGCCAAAAAAGCTTCTGTCTTTTGCTTTAAGAAAAGGAAAAAGTCCTGTGAGAAGGGAGCAGAGAAGGATGAGAACCATGAATCCAATTTACTTAGCTTAAGGCCTACTAACCAGCCTTCCAACATGGGGCATGATAAAACAGAGGTATCAGATCCATTTTGGACTTCAGGAGGGGCCTGGTTGGCTTTCAAACGACTGGTGACATTAAGAAGAAGATCCAAATCCACTTGGAAGAAACAAACACAGGTTTATTCTCGTGTACAGCTAGATGTGGACATAGAAGATTCTGGCAGGTCACGATTTCCTAAGGAGCATGCCAGTTCCAGTTTTAAAATTCCCTGCTTACGACTCTCCCGAAGCAAAAAAAGGACCAGCCATTCTGAAATAATAGAACAGCCAGATTGCAAGAAAAAAGGAAGTGATGCCACAAGCATCCTGAATAGCAAAAGTAATGAGGAGCCAGAGATTGTGGCTATGGAGGTTCCACTTAATACAAGACAATCTCCCAGCAGAGACCTTCAGGAGAAAGAAAGTGACAGTGGAGCCATGAAAAATATGGAAAATGTGGCATTGTCCAGTAGAGAGAACAAGTTTCCAGTGGAAGTAAGACCTGATCCCAATTGTTATATTGACTGTGGAGTTCAATCAGAAATAATCCATTCTGAAACTGCACTTGTAACTGAAGAAGAGAAGCAAATATTTCAGTTACATCATGGAACCCTCTATGGGAACCTTGAAGAGTTGGAAAATCAGAAGTTCAGTTTTAATGTTGAGATCAGTCCTCTCGTTCCTCAGGACCTGGCTGAAAGCGAACAACAACCCATAGAAAGAGAGGGAACCAAGAATGCTTTTACCAAAGAGGCCAAGTCCCAGCCATTTGGGACAGACGTTGATGTTGTGGTCAAAAGTGAGGATGCTGCTGCTAAGGAAGGTCATTCCATTGAAGTGATGCTGCATTGCAGCCCATCCGTAGTAGAAGATGAGGCTTCAGACATGCCAGTCTGTCCTGATGGGGAAGAGAAAAGTGAAGGAAATCAGCTCACCATGCCTGGGGCCGGCATTGTAATCATGATCACTGAAGCTGAAGAGTATCAGGACGAAGAAGAAGAGTCACCTCCTATTTGTGAAACTTTTGCATTTCCCCAAGCCAGCAAGCAGAAAGGGAAGAAAAAAACTGGCAGAAGCCATGCTTCTAGTGCAGATTGCAACTACACGAAGGAAGATAAAACATGCTCCAAGGTCCCATCATCCTTTGGCACCAACAGCCAGGAACGCCGGACTTCAGAGCAATATGAAGTGCTGTTGATCGAAACAGCTGCCTCACTTGTGAAGACAGCCATTCAGTCATCTGTTGAGCAGCTTGTCAATGAAATGGCTTTGGAGCAAAATAAACAAAACAGCGTTCTATGATCACAAGACCCTTTTTGTAAACTAGAGGCAGGCCTGTTATCAGGCAAGGGGAGGCAACTGGTGCTGACCCTGAAAGTGACAGTGATCCGCCATTTAACATACTGGCTTGTAATGGGAAAGAAGGTGCCATTTGGATTTTCTTTGTCTGCTGCCAACACTGCTTGATCCATCCTCAATGGCCAATTCAGCATTAATGCCACAAGGAAATGTACCAGATGTCCTGATGTATTTAAATTTAGCATGAAAGATTAGGGATGGTCTTAATTCCTGAGATATTTGCAATATCTGTGATTAGCTTAATTTTGCATGTTGGTATAATGGATGTATATTGTATGTATAAACAGGATGTAAAAATAGGGTAGGGAGGGTCTTTTGCTGCATGGTGACATGTACTAATGGTTTATCCTGTATAGTAGATCTAGGAAAGACAGTCATATTCTCTCCCTTACCTTCCTCCTCAATTCATTTATTTCATTTGCAAATAACAAGTTATTCAAATAATATTATTGTCAATGACTGAAGCAGCTTTTTTTTAACCCAGGGCCTTTGGCATCACCTTCCTTAATTTTTAGCTGAAATTATGGGAACTGGCACCACAACTGGAGGTCAGTAGGTTGGGGAAACCTGGCTCAGGGTAGGAGAAACTTTACATATTAAATAAATGGCTATTAATCAACCCAATCCAACTAAAACATCTTAGTCATGAGAGAGAGGAGAGGAGAGGAGAGGAGAGGAGAGGAGAGGAGAACTAAGCCCAAATCTTTTGGGATAGTCAACTGGAAGACTGGCTGCTGTATCCTCCTTTACTCTCTGTTTCTCATGAGATCCTTCCCAAACTGGGTCAGCGAGTCTCTTCCCATCTACCACCGTTTGAGAAACTCAGGACTACAGAAGCCTTAAAATACATTCTTAGCAGTTCTTGCCCTAATTTCATGTAAGAATGGGAGCCAAAACGGACAGAGTGATGGAAGAAGGCAAGTGATTTGTTCAGAGCTTTAGCAAGAGAGCTGTTTCACCACTAGGGTTGTGCACACTTTGAAACGATTTGAAAGCAGTGTTTTGGACCTCATAAAAGCACCATATCTCTCTGCAATCCATTAAAGCAGCCCCTCTTTTTTCAGTCTTCTGCACCAGCTCAAAGAAGGAAACTGATCCTTTAATTAATGGAATGATTAATACAGCCCTTCAAGAAGATACATCTTTTTTCAGACTTGCATGAGAGCCTTAAAAGAGATGCATACTTTAATGAATAGTAGAAATAGGTATCCTTGCATGAGGCCTGAAGTATTTTTCCTGAATCAGATGGTAAAGAATGAAGAGCAAAGATGTTAGGTGAATAAAAGGATAGCAGAGAGAGAGAGGAGGAGAGATCTTTGGTTTTAATTTTTTGGTTTTAATTTTCATTGTGGTTCTTACAATTTACAACCTAGGCAAGGCACTTCCTCAACCTGTCTGAAATAAGATGGAGAATTCATAAAGCAAACATCAAGGAACCATATCAGCAAAAATCCATCCTAGTTTACAAAATTCAAGGGTTTTATACCCCCTGATGTGCATTAGGAGAAATTTGGTATACACTAAACTAAATAGGTTGTTTTCAGAAACTTGATCCCCACTTTATCATGCAAAGAAAACCCATTGCAGCCAACGTCTATGAATATAGTTTTAAAAATATCAGACCAGACCATGTTCATAAAATGCAATGAACAAAAGAGCAGGGAAGCATGAAGGTTAAAGGGTTGTCAGCAATAAAGTAAAAGCAAAAACAAAACCCCACCCTTCTAAGCAAAACTACAGTGGTAGCAGGAGGGAAGGCCACTAAAATTTATATCCTCCAGATCATCCAAGCAATTCTATCTATGTGGTTATTAAGAGTCAACACCAGCTTGATGGCATTTAATTAATCAAAGCTTTTTAGAGCAGCCAGTTAATTCTTTATCAGGCATTGGGAAGACATTCAAGGAAGGAGCTTGGTAACATACCATGACAGATATTTCATAGCATTTCCATCATTTCCATATCAACATACCTTGTACAAGTACCAGTTTGTTGTTGTTTTTTAATAAAAGTCTTAAAATAAAGAAAATGTATCTAGATCATCCTGAGTGGGCTACACAGGAAACTTGCTTTCTGTACATGTCAAGTGTTGTATCAAACAATTACCCAAGGCCCCAATAAATTGGATAGAGGCATCTCATGGTACCATCAGGAGGGGGAGGTACAGTCAATACTGTACTGAATTCTTTAGTTGTGTATGACTGAGGCTGGATGAGAGAGCTATTGTGACCTTAGGTACAAAGCCAGCTGGGTGACCTTGGGCTAGTCACTCTCTCTCAGCCCTAGGAAGCAGGCAATGGCCAACTACTTCCGAAAAACCTTGCCAAGAAAACTGCAGGGACTTCTTGAGGCAGTTGGAAGGAGTCAATACTGATTCAAAGGCCCCAACCCCCCCCCCCCCAAAAAAGCTGTATGAGAAGCAGCTGGCTCTCAAGGGAAGTTTACTGTAGGTTATAACTTGTACCCGCCCTGCCCCCATCCCACTAAGGAAGAAAAGAGGAATGCTTGAAAAGAAATTCTGGGTACACAAATTGGCAAAAATGCTTAGAAATGAACTGGCTGTATGTCCACATTAAAGATTTGTGTTTTGTATAAAGATCTGTGAGACACAGCTCACTGGTGAATAGGATTGTCGTATTGTGGCCACTAGATGGCTGTGGTGTTCTTGAGAGGGTGACTACAGAAACTGACTCAATAAATCAAAGAAATACAGAAAACTCTTAATTCTTTGCTCCCGTCTATTAGCGACTTGGATTACTGCAGCCCAAATATGGCAGCCCTACTCTACATGAAGCTGGAAAAGGCTGTGACTATTTCTACCCTGACCCTAGAGTTGTTTGTAGAATGACAGGAATACATGCCATAAATGCAAGGTTATGTATTATGTTGGCTATTAAAGTAAGTGTTGGAAATTTCCCATGGGTAATTTCCAGTGTAGTTTGCACTCAGCACACTCTCAGTCAATTCCTATATCCAGATTGGAATGAACCCCCCCCCCCCCTCCACAGTACAGCTACCAAAACTATGGTTTGATGTTATTTACTAAGATCAGCAAAGATCAAAATCAGATAACTGGCAAAGTGGAGCAAAAAGCAGACAAAAATAGGGAAGGAGAGAGAGATGAACAACAGACAACAATCTACATGATCAATCCACCTATCCATATCAAAAGGTATCTGAACTTTCCAGAGCCACTGGAAACAATCCTGTGCATAATTAGCATGGACAACCCCAAAGAGAGTGACCTTGCCTTGATCCAGCTGTAACCCTTTGCATATATAATGGCAGCAGAATCCAGATGCAAAGGGTTTATTTATTTATTTAGTGTATTTATATGGCCACTGTTGGGAGAACTACCCTGAGAAAATACCCCAGCACCCTTCTCCACCACCTTGGTGGTGAGGTTCAGGTTGGTTTCTTTACTGTCAGGACACAGCTTAAGGCTCTCCAAAACTTTATCAAGAATCTGCAGAGTCTTGGTCAGACATGCAAGGACATGTTAAGTAACATTCCCAAGTGAAAGACCCCAAACACTCATACAAGCAAGCTTAGATAATCAATTTCCCACAAGGCATTTCAAGAGATTCAATCACATTGGATAATCCACGTTTGGTCATTTACACATTTCTAAGTAAGTGGAAAATCCTCCCCAAGTTTACCTTTGCACATAGATATAATAGTGGCATTTCCATAGCAACCTATTATAGGGCTGGTCCCGTTATCTACAGCAGCTGTTTCACAGCACAGCGCACAGTTCCACCACATGCCAACTGCACCATTCTACCCACAGAAGCATCACCACTGTTTGCTTATCTATTCCATGCTGTTTCAGCTAACTTTGCATCCTAATAATGAAGTCTGATCTAGTCTTTATTAGGACTAAATTCCACTTGAATCCCCCAAACTCCTCTGGGTTCCTTCATCTCTTACCCTGTCCATCTACCAATGTTATAGTGAAGCCTTGCTATAAAGGTGCAGATCAAAATCCCAACACTGGTTCACACAGAAGCTAAGTGAGGGCAGGTGGTTGAACAGAGCGGCTGCTTCTTACATTGCGTTGGGCCCAAGGCTAAAACAGTTAGGCGGCTGAATGCTGCTAGCAGGAGGGGGACAATTTAGCAGCAGTGCTCAGAACACACTGAAAGATTCCCCAACACCAACACTCATTTTTTAAAAATAAATTCTATGCATTCAGAAGTTTTCTTCCAATCAGCCAGTGGCTGCAAGATGTCTTTGTCTTCATCTATCTGCCTGCAATAGCAGCATTATTGGTGCTTTAGTAATTAATGGTCATAGATTTCTGATACTTTTTCTAGCACCACAGCAAAAGTACAAGCTTACTGGAGCAAAAAGGATAAATTAACAAAAGCATCGTTTTGCCCAGCTAGGGGTGAAATACGCATTTCATAAAATACATAATTTGGCTTTTGTGTGCATTATACTATAAATAAAAGCTAGTAGGATGGAAAACAATCAGGGGCATGGTTGTAGCATCAAGAGAAGGAGGGGGAAGGGGGGGCGTAGCCATTTCTTCCCCATCTCAATACAGTGGAGCTCTTCCCTCTACTTCATGAGATTAAAAATGTAACCAACCTTGCCTACCACCCACCCCACTCCTCCACCCCTCCTGCAGTTTGCAAACCAGAAATAGGAATATGCAGGAATAAACTGCATTTAATATATGGTGTCATTCGGCTCAAGGGGGAACTCAGTAACTCTATGGCAAAGGGCAGAATTACTTGAGTTTCTCACAGTTGTAGTTCACTGGCTAGCACCATGAGGTTACCAATTCCATGGTTTGGGCCAAATTATTTACCAGGCTACTTACTCCTGCACAATTCGTCTACCGGAGCATCTTTTTCTCCAGAGACACACTGGCACATTCTTTGTGGCTGGGCTTCTACTGTAGGACAACTTGCCAGAACCTGATCCAGAGGCTGGTCCAGCCTTGTTACAGTTTAGAAGATTAAAAACCATATCCAATCTTCTACTCTAGTGCTTTTAAGCTGCTCAGTTTTAATAGGCTTTAAAATTGTCACTGAATGTTAAATGTAGTAAACTACCTACAGCTGCAATATAGGAATAAATGGGATATACATTTTAAAATATCAAAATTGGGTAATGTAAATCGGGTTTATTTAACCTTCAGCCAACTTTTGCAGTCTGGTAAAAAATGGTTCAACATTGTTTTAGGAGGCTGCTGGAAAAATCTAAGCAGCCTACCTCTTGGCTGTTAAAGTTCCCCCGTCCCATTTCATTTTCTTTCTAGTGTAAATAAGGCCATAGCTATTATTTTAATTTGGAACACGTGACCCTCTTGTGAGGGTTGTTTTCCAAGGACTGGACACACCACAGCATAAAAGATAACTATTTGAGTTCATCTGTGAAATCACTTTCTTGATCTCATCAGTAGAGGGAGGCAGGCCTAGGGCATCCGAGATTGGCAGCTGAGGAATCTCCTGTAAGACATCATAATCAACTGTGGACAGCCAGGTGAGTAGGTTGGAAAAGTGTCCTGCTCAGCAATTTTTCAGTTCTTCCTGGTCTTTGATCAGGCTCAACCCATCAGATGACAGCAGGAGAAGCATCCTGATTTAGAAGGACCATAAACTGACTTTATGGCACTGAAGAACTCTCTGGTGGCATGCATATCTGCATAGCGTTCCACTTGCTCAGCCTTCCTCTGCCACCACTCGTCCTGCATTTCTTGCAGTCCCGTCTGTACTTCGGACTAATTTACCAACAGACAGCACAATGATAATGAATAAAAGTTTAATTCATGCCCAAAGTACCTCTTAATTGAAATAATTGCCTATCAAGGTAGAAATATTTGAAAGGAATAATGTGTTTGCTCTGGTTTGAATCTAGCCACTTTCTTGCTTGCTACATTTCTACATGCCTGGCATGTGTTTTTAACTGAGGCACTATACCTTCTGAAAAGGTGCAGCCTGGAAGTTACAGAATACGGGGAAATTGCCCTTTTTGAGATTATATCTATTACTGGGGATAACTTGTTTTTCAGTTAAGAGAAATTGTTTCAAATGTCACAGTACACACGCATACACACATGCATTCCAATATTCTCACTGCTTTTCATATTTAAAGATAAAAAGGTGTTCAAGCTGTGTGTTTAAATCATACTACAGAGTTATTCTTGAAAATGAACTGAGCAATGAGATGGCGGAACAATTCACCACATTTCAGCTATATTGTGGTAGCACAAAGAAGCACGGTAGGAAAAAAAAGCAAAGCAGCTCTGGAGCCAGTTTTGGAGAACAGCTAATAAAGTTGCAAATTAGAAGGAAGACAAGAGCTATTTAGAGAAAATGAGCTTTCAAAAGCAAATAATCCTCCTTAGATTTAAAATGGAACCATTGCTGTTTGGCCTAGTACCTTCCAAGTAAGTTGCAATGACAGCTCTTGGAATTCTTAGCCACCAGCACCCACAGGCCATTGATGAACACATCCGGAGGCCATCATAGTGAAGAAACATGCAGGAGAGCCTCTTTAATTTGTGGGCTGCTTTGGGGAACGTAGCAGCACGTAGCTTATCAGAAGCTAAGTAGGGTCAGCCATGGTTAATGTTTGGATGGGGGGAATCTCCTGGGAAAGCTAGGGCCATGGGCTAAGCTGGGAACAACCCAGAAGAAGGCAAGGACAAGCCATGTCCATATTCTTGCCAAGAAAACTGCATAGATGTTTCCATAGAGTCACCAAGAATTAAGCTGCAGTGAAATATATACAGGTAGTCCTCAGTTTAACGACCACTTGTTAAGTGACTGTTTGAAGTTATGATGGTGCTGAACGAGTGGTAGTTACGACTGGTCCTCGAAGTTCCAGCCATCCCAACACTCCCATGGTCACGTGATTGTGATCTGGGTGCTTGGTGACCAGCTGACACGATGGTTGCAGTAGCTCATGGTCACGTGATCATCATTTGCAACGTTCCCTGTCGGCTTCCCACAAGCAAAGTCACTCTGGTAAGTCTTCCACACCCGGCAGCATCCACCCCCACCCCACTGCACTCGCGCTGCACCCAGCCGTCGTGCACTCTCCCCCACCCTGTGGCAGCCACTCCAAGCCCCACTGCGCTAATGCCGTGCTGGCAATCCATGCACCCTCCCCCACCTGGCAGCAGCCACTTACCTGCCTGCCAGCCTGCTTGCAACCACCTGGGACTTGCAACTTCCTGCCAGCTTTCCCACTGACTTTGGTTGTTGGAAGCCTGCAGGCAGTTGCAAGGAGGTTCTTGGTTAACAACCCACAAACCTTGCTTAACAATGGCAACAGGGACTGCTGGGATTGCTAATGTTAAGTGATGTGGTAATGTGATATTGCGCTTTATGACCGCATCATTTAGTGATGGAATTCCGGTCCCCATTATCGTCGATAACCTAGGACTACCTGTAGTTTTATCTGGGCTGAGAAGCTAAACAGGATCAGGCTTGGTTAGTACTTGGATAGGAGACTTCCAGAAAATACCAAACAATAAGCTACACTGTGGAATTAAAAAACATCCTGGAAGAAAGGCAATGGCAAACCACATTGTATTGCTGTCAAGAAAAAGCTTAGAAGAATGTACATGAGATCCTTTAGCCCCAATAGGTGGTTACTCCAGGCTGATCTCTGAGCTCAGAAGCTATGCAAGGTTGGCCTGGTTAGTATGCAGATGGGAGAGTATTAAGCAATGCCTTGGCTGTATCCTACACTGGCAAGTTAGAAAACTTCCCAGAAGAACATTGCTTGATACGGTCATCAGGAATCAAGCTCTACTAGAAAGTATCTGTATTTGAGGAGGAGGGACTGGATGTTTTCTCTTTTTTTGGACCAAAAAGCAAGCTATGAAATTAAATAAAAGTAATATTTTAGAGCAGGACTGGATAGAATGTAAATTAGATTCTACTAATTGTCTGTTGAGTGATCTGCAATAATAAAAAAAACTGCAAGGGTTGCTAAATTC